CTCGAGCTGCCGCAAGCGCTGCGAGGAGGATGCTGACATGACCGATGCGCAGTCGATGCGCCCCCATCCGTTCCCAGATCAGCTGAGCAGCCAGGCAAGCCGTGCGAAGAGAAGGTACGAGGCCGCTTAAGCCCACAAAGGAAGACGGCAACGAAGTCGAGGCAGGCGCCTACCCGTCATCCGCGTCAACACCGGATCACAGCACTCACAATATCATCCATCCAACTCGTCCCTCTCATCCAACTTGCACGACACCCTCGGCACCAGTCAGCCTCAACTCAAGAGCAAGGCCAGCTCGGCTTCGCTCCAGCAAAAGCCCTCTCTCTCCAGCCTCAGAGGCTCTACAGCCGGAAGGCCCAAGGCCCTGGAGCTTGCTGCGAAGCGAAAGGAGGTTGAGGAGAAGGAGGCTCAGCGCAAGAGAGATGCCAAGGCGGAGATTGAACGCAAGAGGGCGGCGTTGCAAGAAGAGGAGCGTAAGCAGGAACAGCAGAAGCGGCTCGAGGCTGAGAAGCAGAAAGCCAAGGAACGAGAGCAGGCTGCATCGCAGGCGGAGGCGAAGAAGAACGCCGCACGTCAAGCCGCTATTGAGCGGGCCAAGCAGACTCGAGCGCCACCTCCCGCTGTGCGAGCTCAGCCTACCGGGCCTCCGGACTACAATACTGGTTCGGACAAGGCGGCGGCGAGCAACCAGCCCCCCCGCCCTGTATCACGTATGAACACTGCCAGTCAACGACCTCAAGAGGATCTTGGCCGTCCTGTGTCAGCAGTTTTGAACCAGGGTGCCAAGGCACCGCCTAAGCGACCTTTGCAGCAGGAGACCAACGACGGTGCATCCCGCCACCCGCAAGCCAGGAACGGACCGAGCTACCAGGCCAAGGATGCCAAGCGCCGACGGACCAGCGACGATTTCTTTGACGAGCTGGACATGGACAGCCAGCCCCCTAACATCAAGGGCCCGCCTGTCCGGCCTTCTGCGGACTGAAGGAAGGTGAGTTGTACAGCGAGCTTGCCGCTCGGTGCGTTTAAGGACTCTGAAGCTAATGATGACCAGGATATGTCGAACAAGTCCATGTTCTCGGCCGGCTATGCCAATGTCCCCGCCTCAGAGCGCGTCTCGCGATCTCTTCAAGGCTACCGTCACAGCTCAGCCCCACAGCGCCGTCAAAAAGCACGCAGCCTATGGACATGTCACAGTTTTCCCAAGGGGGCGATTCCCTTTTGCGCCCAACCCCAAACCCGGCCGGACCGTCCCACAAGACGCCGGCCCGGCCGCAGGGCGCTGCCGGTGCGAAATCAGCCGCCAAGTCGGCGACTCGGTCCTCGCCGCGGTTCCAGAACGGCGAGTCGATTGAGCTGCCAGAGATCGACACAGATGACGAGGACGAGGAGGAAGACGACGCGAACTTTGGCGCTGCTGCGTGGGTCGACTCGCCGGAGCTGCGCAGGGCTCTGACCCGCCAGGAGACTATGGACCCCTCGCAGATCTTTGGGCCACCAGTGCCGCTCGTGATGGAGGAGGTGTTCAGCAAGAGCAAGGACCGTTGGCACAAGTTCAGGGCGCGCACGTCGAGCGCCAACTGGAGCGGCACAGACCGTCTGACGGAAGACGAGATCAGGAAGGACCTCGTGGCCCGCGACAGGATGCGCAAGGACGGAGCCTGGACGTTTGAGATGAGCAAAGACCTGGCATAGGCGCGTGTGTAAGGTCGCATTATGAGCGGCCGAAACTGGGTATGACTTGATGGTGTTGATCGGGACGGATGATTCATTCACTGTACATGATATTCTTGTTGGTTGCATTCGTTGCAGATTGGGACAGTTTGGTATACGGCGTTTGAACTGCCGAACATGGGAATCAACAGACCTTCACGAATTGAGGGCGCACAATAAGACATGATGATCACACTTTTTTTGCCCTCGCAGTACAGGTCTTTTCGGTGTTGTGTATGGCCAGACACGCGGTTTGAGGAGGGAAACAGGCCAAGCCACACGAGCCCGTGCCGCTGGGTCATGCTGGGTACGATCGTCACCGTACAGGAGCCCTGATGCAGGAATGACGAACGTTCGCCCTACATTTCCAGAAGCAATCTGATTGGGGCCGCCATCTGGAGGGGCATTGTCTGAGGATACCTGCACATACACGCCTTGTGTGCCCTGACTTGGGTATGTACAGACGGACGGCATGTACAGACGAGGTACGCGGGCGGCCCGGCTAGGGTAGGTCAAAGCTCCTGGTCCGTGGAGGGTTGGTGCGTGGAAATGACGGATGACTCGCATAGGGGATCTGATAGATAAGGTAATGTGAATGAGATGCGGCCATCGATGTCAGGCAGGCCAACACTGACATTGGAGCGGTGAGAAGGCGGTTACACCTCTTGCAAATGTGACTGGGCCAGTAGCTCGCTGGCTGGTGACAATCCGGAATGAACCTTGGGTTCGCTGAGCTGTGCTGTACGCAACTCGGCAGCGGCGCAGAGGGACGAATGACTGGGTCCAGCCAGCTATGTGGGATCGATCAGTCTCACCTTCTTGTTCCAGCAGAGGTTCGTCAGTCGGTCGGCCGTGGCGAGCCTGTGCAGCGTGTGATCGTCAAGGAGGACGCATGTTGCCTGTGGCTCGCAGGCCTCAGCCACACCACACGTCACTGGGTCCTTGGGTCCCTACGACGTCCCGCTCCCGGTCCCTGTAGAGCTGGCCTAGGGGGGAGGGATCTCTGTTTAGTGCGCCCTCTGGGGGACCCTCCAGAACGGGAGGCTTGTCTCCACTCATAGCGTTGACGTCCCACGTCCAACCCCCCCGCCCCCCCCCCGGCCTGTGTGCTGAGGCAACCGCGCAATTGTTTTCTTCCATGCGACGAGACATTCTTCGAGCTGATCTGTTGGCGGGGCACATCACCGACCTTCCTACTGTCTACCTACTCACTTGCCTCGGGGTCCTTTACCTAGCGCGACCTCTGCCTGACCCTTTCTCCCCTTCGCTTGGTCATTCACCCCTTTCTCGTCTGAACCCTCTGTTAATTTGCGTACCTACCTAACTGCCTAGGTAACCTGACGACATCAGCCCCGAAACCTACCTACCTACCTACCAAGCCAGCGCCGACCCACGATCTTACCAACCTGCCTATTCATAAACATTCGCCGTCCCTAAACGTCGTCTGCGGTCTTTCGCCGACGATACAAGAACGATAGGTGCTTTGGCCTTGTCAGGTAAGAGAGCTCTCCTGCACTTTGTGTTCTGCCCTTCACGTGCCCTGTCGCCCTGGTCTGTCCGGGTCACGGCGCCCAGCGTACCCATTGCCCGGGTGCGAGTGAACGTGAGTGGTACAGCACCAAAGACCACTCGCAAGAGGGCAGTTTGGATGGGTGGCTCGGCTGCTGTCTGCCTCGCTGCACCTTTGTCTGTTGCGACTGAGGTGCTGCATCGCCGTCCTGTCCAGTCGCCGTTGAGAGGCTGCTGCTGCCCTGCGATTTGCCTGCTCCTTCCCGTTCCTCCCCTGCGATCGTTACCTTGCGTTGAATGCCTAGATCGGACTTCAGTGCTCTGCATCCGAGGACTGGCCTCCTTGGACTCTCTTCCGTTTTATGTTTACAATTCCCTCGGTCCCAAGCCCTGAAGGCGATCGTCCGGATGACATGAGCTAACCTTTCTCCTACAGCGGCAGCCGAACTCTCTCTTCCCCCTCGAGCCCTCTGACTCTTCCCACCAAAGATTGTCTGCACCCGATTCTGTCGTCTTAGTTTAAGTCAGACTCTCAGCCTTCACGCCAATACACCTGCCCAGCCGCTACTGTGACCCTCCTTTTTCGGCCGATTTTCACCAGGCATCTCAATACTTCCCTAGCACGCAAGCTCAGCGACCTTTGACGATCACATAGTCGCTCTTCGCCTCGATTCCTCTGGTCCTCTGGTCCTCTGGCAGGCCGCTTCTGGGCACAACAGGAAAGCTCGAACAGGCTGTGACGGGTACCAACGGGGATGCCTGGTTCTGGCGTTGATCACTCCCCCGGCTACATCCAACCCGTCATTGAAGGACCTTTCCAGGGTCTGAGGCACGATTCAATATGCCGAAACTTGACAACTCTCGCGACTATTACGCGGACCTCAACCTGCCTGTGACAGCAGATGTCAATGACATCAAGAAGCAATTCCGGAAGCTAGGTAGGTGTTTCCATCCCTGATAACTGGTATCCCTGCTAAACAGACGAAGCGCTCCTCTACCACCCTGACCGAAACCCCGGCAGAGAAGCTGAAGTCAACTCCAAGTTTCAGGTCATCCAGTCCGCACATGAGATTCTGACCGATCCCGAGCAAAAAGCCAAGTACGATGCCAGCCGGGGTCGCTCGCGTTATCCCACCGCTTCAGGCGTCAGAGGCAATCCCTGGCAAGATGCCGGGGCCAACTTTCCCCCACCACCTCGGCGAAATCAACCAACTCGTAATGCTACCCAATCGGGGGCGAACAAGTACCGCAACTTTACCTCGGGTGCCGCGCCGACTGCAAAGGCTCAACCCCGCGAAGACCCTATGGAATCCAGGCGCAATGCGTGGCAGGCGTTTGAACAGATGAGGCCTTCGTCTCAAGGCAAGTCCGCCGCCTCTCAGGCGAAGCCGAGACCTGTGCCCGAGCAGCCCGTCCCACCCCCTCGACCCGCACAGAGACCTGAGAGACCTGTGCCAAGGACGCCCGCACAGAAGCAGAGAGCCGAAGCTGCTTTCGGGCCAAGAAGTCGTCGGGCTATGCCCCTCACTCTCCTGTTCCTGGAGATGAGCCGTCTGTGAGTTCCAGCGCATACGCGACCAACCGACACACATACGATGCATCAGCGTCGGCCGCCCAGCAGCAACGCGACTCGATTCCGGACCCCTTGGCACGTTCGCGACAGTTGGTGATTCTCGGCAAAGACTCCCTACAGCAGTGGGGGGCGGCG